GGATGTAGCTTCTGAGTTGAAGTGTATGTGTGAAGTGAAAAGAACACGCCGTGAGTTCCAGAACATACCCGATAAATAAAACTATAAACTACTTACTATTTATATGAACTGCCAAATAAAACTAATTAGTTCCATTTTGCCTTCTGGCACTAAATTTCCAATGGTGTTTCATGATGAAATATATATATATTAACTGCCTTGACCTCTTCTCTTTTTGTATCCTTTGAAATTATGTCGGCCATTTCTTACTTAATTAAGCATTCTAGCTTACAATTACTAATTGGAATAAGGTTATAGTTGCCCTTATTGAAATCACCAACAGAACTGCAACTATCAAGCTTGGAAAATTGCAATTAATTGGCAGCTTACAGTTAATAAAGAAGCGCTGATGTGGGGGTTGTTCAGTCGCCTCTACTCGACTCGACAACTCTCAAATAACAGATGATAGGGCGGGTGACATGATTGCATTAAACAACAAAAAAAAAATAGAAATATATATATAAGCAGTTCGTCTTCAGACGGCTCACAAGAAAGACGCAATTAAAAAATATAATACGCCCACGGGCTTAAAAAAATAACATTTTACATTTACAAAATGGCGATTCGTTAAGCTTTCGCATAACTAGCACGTGTTTATCAAATTACGATATATACGAAATACTTCGTATACGGGTAACCTTGAAGCTGAACTCGTTTTTTTTTTTTCTTTAAAAGATTGTTAGACTTTGTCTACATATATATATGGTCCTATATCTCCTATACTAAATAGGAAGTGGACTAGTTGGAGGAGGAGTAAAGACGCCGATGAACCCTTTTGTATATGTGTGTGATTGACTAGTGTGTGGCAAACTCTTCAATCATTATTCCAGAAAAATGATTTTTATCTAAAAAATCACATTTTGAGTCGTAAATTCAGTTATTTTTATTTCGTCAAAATTCTTATATTTGTATACTCAAAATTATTTACTGTAAAATTTGAAAATGAATAAAATTCATCGGATTTGAAAGGGTTTCATTTTTAAAATCAAAACAATTTGTATGTTCCCCTACTGCAAGAATATACTAGATTCTACTACAGTCGTTTCAATTAAGCGACCTGAAATTCAAATAACTTTAAATCAAACACTTCAAATTATAAAACTTAAACAAAGATTATTAAATTCAACACAAAAATATATACATATATGATATGTATTTCTAAACAGTAAATATATTAGTTAAAATTATATATTTAGTCTTTTGGTTTCATTGATATATTTTTAATGTGTTTCAAACATCAATCAGAAAATGATTTTGTTTTCAATTCATAACAAAAACTGATAAATACATTTGATAAATAGAAATACGTTGTAATAAATTAAGTATTAAAACCAAAATAATAGTTTGGTTTGATTTTTTTATGTTTTCTTTGTACAGAAGTTTTTTAAAGTCTTGTAATTTATTTAAGGAGAACTTCTTCCCAATAGCTTTAAACTTGGAGTCCAGCTCCTCCATAATGTTGGTCCATATACTGAAAGTCATCCATGCTTTTGCGTTAGCAAAATATTTCATAGAAATTGGGATTGATCTTTTAAAACTGCGCAGAGATTGTCAGTGGAGTTTGTAACCAACAGAAGCGTAATTCGATTTTTGGACAGTTTTCTGTTTCAGATTTTTTAGCCAATGTTCCTGAAGGCAATGCTTTAAAAAATAAAGCTGTCTCATCAGCATTGTATATTGCATCTGCTGGGTATTCTTCAAGGTATACAAGTAAGATATTTTCCAACCAATAATTTGCTGACTCCGTATTTGCAGAACTTTTTTCACCGTGCACCTTTTTAAATTGGATATTTTCTCTCCAAATCCGCATTAAGTTTTTCGGCAAAAAACAGCCTTTTCCAGCAATAGAGGTCCAGTCAATGTTTTGATCACATTTGATTAAACCACGCAAGAAGAGCATCTTCGACTTCTTTGTTACAAATCTTTTTATAGGTTCAAAAAAAAAAAAAATTGTCTTGATGAGCCAAACTAGTAATGTTTTCCTTATCTTTTAAGATTCTGGAGAGTGTTCCTGGACTAAATTTGTATTCATCATAAATTTCCATGTTGGTAGTTCCAGATTTTAATTTCTTTATTATTCCAATTTATTCTTAAAAGTAAGGCAAATGCACTTGTTTGCTGATCCCTAAAACAAACATCAATTTAAAAAATTCACATAAATTTACATATTCAGTGTTTACCATTTTGGAAGACATTTTTTTCAAACATAAAAATAATTTTAAGTTAGTTTCTAACGGCCAATGGTTGGATATACAAAACAAACAAACAAACGAAGAGTATGAGACCGGCGTTAAAGGCGCTGAATATCAGTTCATTTTAGTGTGAAATTAGTCACCACGTAAAACTAACGTCGCAACGAATATATTTTCTCGTTTAAGCGGAGTTGATTTCAAGGAAATATGACTTTTTATGGATATGGATTTTCAAATAAACGGTGTGAAATGTGTGAAAAAATTAAGGAATTTTTAGTTTCTCAGATTTGTTTTTCAATTAACCGGAGTTTTCAATTAAACGGATGTTATCGTAGTAAAAAATAGTAGATTCTTGAAGTACGGGACAGACCATATTTTGATTTTCTTCATGCATTGTGTGTGTCACACATACATAAATAAACTTAAAAAAAATAACACATAGTATGATAAATCCTGTACGGCATGATGTATAGCAACCCTGTCGTACATTCAACTAACTTTAAACTAAATGAAAACTAACTTTTTTCAATTAGTAGTGGTTGATAAATCGACTTTTTTACATGGAATGAACTAACTATTTCAACATTGTGATGTCCTACGAAGTAGTCAATTGTCCGAATTTGCATTACTTTCAGTTAACTTTATAGTCAGTTATCCATCAGTGAAATTATAGCTAACCTTTTGCAGTTAGCTATATATTTACTTGTTTAAATATGCTTTCAGTTAATTTATTTTAAAATAACTATTTGTAAGTCAAATTGTAGTCAGGGAAAAGTTAGTTTTTTGCACGTTAGGTTAAAAAACACTATTTGTATCTTGCTGAAATGAAACGAGGTTTAAAAATTTGCATTATTATAAAACAAAAATTTATTAATATAAAAAAACGTAACAAGGATCACATCATTTATCACAAAGATTTTTATAAATATTTTGAACATTTGTGGTTTTATAATAAAAAGAAAATTAATATTAGTTTTTGGTTTTAAAAATCTTAGGAATACCAAAAAATTAGTTTGCACATTTGATGCTTTACACCTATCACCACTCTGTAGTAAAGGGTTGTATTTTAAATAAAAAATTGTCAGCATCTACATTCACAGAGCCAAGGGATCAGCAGGCATCTGATTAAATGATAAATATATATGAAAATGTGTACATGATTGTAGATTTAAATCATATATATTTTTTCAAATGAGGATTTACCTGTTAGAAAACCATAAAAATAAGGAAAGTCTTTCAGACGCTTTTCCATGAATCCCCTCTAAATTGACGTCCATACACAAATTATTTGCCATTATCCCTGTGAGGGTTTTTGGAGTAAAAATAAATCATTTAATAGAAACATAAACAAATTCAGAAATGTTATTAGGAAACTTACGTAGTCGTATTAAAAACAATGTTGTGTTCAAACAACCACATTACATTTAACCACATTATTTATTACATTTAATTATAAACTCACTGTAAAACTTTAAATAATATCACAACACTTTATTAACAAACGACTTTCAATCGACAAATTGTTGTTTACAAAATTACACTTCCAAGGCGTAAATTAAAATTGACGCCGTTTAAATTGAACGGCGTTGGTGGCCGATATTTACATATTGGTGGCCGATATTTACATATATTATTCATTTACATTTTTTTGCATTGCGTAGTAGTGGCTAACTTTAATTTTTTTTTTTTTTTTTTTTTTTTTTTTTTTGTAGTTAGCTACTCATTTGACGACAGGGAAGGTGTATTCAATAAGGTGTATGCATCAGATACAACAACAAATATTTTACAAAAACAACATTGTTGTTATAGAAATTAAATTGTCATGCTGACAAGAATTAACAAAAACAAATATTTAATTATTTTTGTCAAGAACTATTCATTGAGGAATAATTAGTGAATTTGTATATTCTTGGGTTATTGGCGGTTTTAGGTCAGTGAAAAATAAAGTTTAAGACCTGATCGCGATTAATATTAAATTTCCCACATGCAGCCCATGGCTCCTTGTGACGTTGTTTATATTGTGAATTACAATCTATTTTTCTATGGAGCCTTTCAATTTTCTTGCCTTCTGAAAGAAAATTGAAAGTCATAAATCCCCGGCCAAAGACTAAATCATGGAAATTGTGTTGACCGTATAAAATCTTTCCATAGGCGTATTTAACCTTCGCCGAGAATTGTGACAAACACCAAGGGGCCGATTCCAATATAGGCTAACATAATCTCCTCGATTTTATGAGTATCAGGAATTGATGGACAGATTTCCACACATAATATAAAATATGTGGACCATTCGGCGAACGGGGTTATAACTGAGTTAAGCCTAGGTTTCCTTTCCGTCCGCCTCATTAATGTAGTTTTCTTGAATTTTTATTATTAAAAAAGTCTCAATTTAAAGACCAATTTTGAAATCGAAATGTAATATTGAAAATGATAAAGAAAAATGTTTAAAACCATATGATTGTCACTTACACATTATTAAATACACCTTGATGTATAGTGTATGGGACCCTTTAAGGGCCCACACACCATGACATGCATGACAGCGTTTGAAGTAGTATTAGTAATTTTGTGTCACTTTGAGAATGTGTGTGTGAGAATTTCATGCAGTACGAAAATTTACAATTGCTATTGAACAACAACTAGCAAATATAAATAGAGAAATCAGGAGGGGGAAACACCAAACCATGTAATTTCTTAAATTAAAATGTTTTCCGTCCATATAGGGCGTGTGGGTGTGTGTTGTTGTGTTTGATAATTGTTGTAACTTACCCCTATAGAAAGACAATTTTTCTCAGCACTGTTGGGGAATTTCACAACAATTTTTGAGCCGGATCTTTCTTTGCGATCGTTCAATGGACGGAAACTACGCACGATTTTAGTACTATCCTCTGCTGGCATCTCACGTTCCGCAGACATTTTGTAAGAATTTTCTTGTGGCGGCGGCTGGTGGTGTGATGATGGAAAATGATTTTTTTTTTATTATTGTTGTTCAGATTTCAAGTTCAAATTCCCTTGGTTTAATTATTGCAAATGCAAAACACAATAAAATAGCTGGTAGCTATCTGTATTAGAAGGCAGTAACTTCCACTTTTTTCTTATTTCCAAAAAAATGCCTAGGGTTTTTGTTTTGTATTAACACACTTGCGGAACTAGATTTGGTGCAAAAAAAACGAAAATAATTTAAATAAAAATCAAAATATTAAAACACAATTTTTTAACTAGCTCTTTGTATTTATTTTTTTTTATTTCTTCTTTAAGTATTTTGGCCCGCCTCCCGGAAAACGAGTAAAAAAGCGCCACCACCAAATTAATTACCTTGATGAACTGTGTTTTTTAATAAAATCTTCTACTGATTGGATTGCATTGAATGATGCAAACTTGACTCTGGTAGCGGTGAATCTTGTGCAAGCAAACAAAATGTGAGTGACGGTGTCTTCCGGCTTACAAACCTAACACTCACCAGAAACGACTACATTCCAGGCTCACAGCCAGATGAGCCGAGCCGCCGATAAAATTCAAAAGCCGCCGCCGCCGATTTTTTTTCGGCTTCAGTCGTTATAACAAAAAAATTTGCAAAAATACTGTTTTTATAATTATTTAATTATTATGTGCGTTAGTTTTTTTATGTTAGAACCAAATAAACAAAAATGGCGAACCAAAAAATTACAATTTATTTGCAAAAAAAAATAATATTTTAAATGAAACTAATTCAGAATCCGATGACGAACTAGCTGTGTTTACTGAAATTGATAACGGCATAAATGAGTATGAAACAATATTGAGAAGCCTTGAAAAAATATTTAAAAATCCACGCCTTGAAAAAATATTTAAAAATCCACGCCTTGAAAAAATATTTAAAAATCCACGCCTTGAAAAAATATTTAAAAATCCACGCCTTGAAAAAATATTTAAAAATCCACGCCTTGAAAAAATATTTAAAAATCCACGCCTTGAAAAAATATTTAAAAATCCACGCCTTGAAAAAATATTTAAAAATCCACGCCTTGAAAAAATATTTAAAAATCCACGCCTTGAAAAAATATTTAAAAATCCACGCCTTGAAAAAATATTTAAAAATCCACGCCTTGAAAAAATATTTAAAAATCCACGCCTTGAAAAAATATTTAAAAATCCACGCCTTGAAAAAATATTTAAAAATCCACGCCTTGAAAAAATATTTAAAAATCCACGCCTTGAAAAAATATTTAAAAATCCACGCCTTGAAAAAATATTTAAAAATCCACGCCTTGAAAAAATATTTAAAAATCCACGCCTTGAAAAAATATTTAAAAATCCACGCCTTGAAAAAATATTTAAAAATCCACGCCTTGAAAAAATATTTAAAAATCCACGCCTTGAAAAAATATTTAAAAATCCACGCCTTGAAAAAATATTTAAAAATCCACGCCTTGAAAAAATATTTAAAAATCCACGCCTTGAAAAAATATTTAAAAATCCACGCCTTGAAAAAATATTTAAAAATCCACGCCTTGAAAAAATATTTAAAAATCCACGCCTTGAAAAAATATTTAAAAATCCACGCCTTGAAAAAATATTTAAAAATCCACGCCTTGAAAAAATATTTAAAAATCCACGCCTTGAAAAAATATTTAAAAATCCACGCCTTGAAAAAATATTTAAAAATCCACGCCTTGAAAAAATATTTAAAAATCCACGCCTTGAAAAAATATTTAAAAATCCACGCCTTGAAAAAATATTTAAAAATCCACGCCTTGAAAAAATATTTAAAAATCCACGCCTTGAAAAAATATTTAAAAATCCACGCCTTGAAAAAATATTTAAAAATCCACGCCTTGAAAAAATATTTAAAAATCCACGCCTTGAAAAAATATTTAAAAATCCACGCCTTGAAAAAATATTTAAAAATCCACGCCTTGAAAAAATATTTAAAAATCCACGCCTTGAAACAATATTTAAAAATCCACGCCTTGAAAAAATATTTAAAAATCCACGCCTTGAAAAAATATTTAAAAATCCATGCCTTGAAAAAATATTCTTTAAAAATCCACGCCTTGAGAAAAGATATAAAAATCCACAAATTTCGTATCAAAATTTTGTAGGTTATTGGAAAAAGTCCAAGGTCTTCTGAGACAACACGACGAACTGAAAAAGGAAGAATCAGAGTTTAAGGAACACTGTCGAAAAGATCTGGCTGCCCTGCAAGAATTTAATTATGAAAATTGTTCTGATTGCCCATACCACAATTTTTATATTTCTTTTCATCTCCTTCCAGGAGCCCATGAATGTGAAAAATGGCCAAACATTGGAAATCCATTTTTGGCGTTGTGTTTCCAAACAAAAAATTTGGTATGAATGGTGTTTGGCCTCACCACATACCACACATGTTCATAACTTGGGTGGCCGTTCCTGTCCCATTTATTGCACGTAAATACGCCATCCCCCCAAAAAAAAAACTTCCATTTAGAATTTATTTGTTTATAGTTGAAGCTTTATAGTTGTTAAAGGAGATTATATTTCGTATGGCCGATAATTATTTTTTATACAGTATGTTTAACTTGACCATTTTTTTTTTATTTTTTCATTGCAACTGATTTCAATTATGGAATACCTCGTTTATTATAACTATACAGATGACCATAGCTTCCATTAAAGATAAAATAGTTTATAGGTGAAAAGGCTCAAGATTTTCTTTTCCTTCTATCCTATAAATTTAGTATTCTTTAACCCTTTCAGTGTTTTTGTCGAATATATTCGACATTTAAAATTACTCTCTTCCTTTGCAATTTTTCGGTTATCCTACGTACCGTTACAATTGATGTCTTTGTTTTTGCTGAAAGACAGACAAAACAGTCCGAGGTTTAAAATAAGAATTGCTTTTTATTCTAAACTCTGTGCCTTTATATGATGTTAAGTACAAAATTTTAGATTTTTATGCCGATAAAAAATTTTTGTGGCACTGAAAGGGTTAAGATACGGTTTGCCCAATTTGTTGACTCTAAATGGTGTATAATTATTATTTTTTTTTATTTTAAGCAATTTTTGTTATGTTTAAAAATGCCTTATTTATTTTAAGGTTCGCTCTATATATTTTGTTAATTAAAAATTTCCATTGCCTTTATGGGGAAAATTAGTTGGACCACAACTAAATACCATGGCATGTTTAATTATCATTTCTAGAACTAACAATTTATAGTTGACACAATTTTACTCGATATACATAAGTATAGAATTTAAGTTAAATATATATTTATATTTACTTGAAGGTATCAAGTAATGACAATAAATAAATATATATTGTTAATGACACCAAAAATTATAACAAAAACAAAAAACGGGATTTTTAATGTAATTCTGTAAAAAGTTAGCAACGGAAGAACTAAATATTAAATAAAAAAATGGCAATTTTATTTTGACCATTCGAATGTTTCATATAAGTTTAATCGGTCGATTAAGGAGCCGTTTCAATTCGTATTCGGCACGGATGGTAGTTAATCACCCCTATTCCGTATGTCGTCGTCGACACAAAACGACGTCGAAGACTATCGTCTTTTGCAAATTGGTATTCTCTATGTCGTTGTCGACATTTATCGATAACTATTGAAACATTTTTGGTATTCCGTAACAATGTTTGACGATGTCGAAGATTTCTTCGTCATAATTTTTGTTGACGACTGAAGTGTTTGAACAATTTTTTTTAAGAACTTTAAAAAAAGAACATGACCGGACAAGAACAGGATACATCATTCTAGAATCTATTCAATACGTAATGCAAAATAAAGTGAAAATAAAGAAAAATATATGGGATCTATATAAATCTGAATTGATTTTGACCAATGTCAACAGGAATCGTCTATGCGCCAAATAAAATGTCATCCCAATTAGATGCAATTTTCCAAATTTCATCCCGTTCGGATCATAATGGTGGCATGTAACTTGTTTAAAATAATACATGGATGGAGGGACATGCATAAATCGACTGAAAAATAATTCTATGCACATATATATACTAAAAAATAACTATGAGTCTATCTCGTTTCTTTTTGGTCGTTGCAAACACATTTACCAAGGCATAATGCTGTGGCACAGGGCATTATGTCTTGGTAGGTGAAGGATACAAACACATTTTTGCCCAAAAATATGCAACAAAATAAACTGCTGACCACATTTTTAGAGATGTGTTTTTTTTTTTGTTTTTATTGATATTATCGATAAATAGTCGACATCGTCGCATGAGTGTTACAGAATACCAAATCAGTGTCGAAGTGATGTCGAAAGAGAAACGTTGTCGACGACGACATACGGAATAGGGGTGAATATCTATCCGACATCTCTTAAACGTCCCAGCCAAACTTATCGACAGCCTTTATTTCTGAATAATAGAATTCCTTGTCAGCTCATCAAATACAGCCGAAGAAGTCCGTTTCAAGAGACACAATGGGCTGAAATATGTTTATAAGAAATCGTCACAACTTCCCGGTATCACTCAAACCATAGCAAGAAATACTGAAAATGTTCGTTATGGCTCATGTTAATATGATTGTATCGATTGATTGTTCAATCGACTGTTGTTCTTCAAACTGTATTCCGACTATTTGAATAATTTCTCTATAATTTAACCTTCAAAACTTTACCTATCTAAATTTGACTATCTTCTAATAAATGAATGAAGGAATTATGCCTCTGGGGGGAGATATTACAAGAATATTTTTCAAAATGAGATTAAATAAAACTAAGTTTGTTCGACCGGGAAAAAAACTTTTCATATACACCACAACTAGGAAATGTAAAATTGGAGCTAGAATAAAAATCTAATACCTACAAAAATTTCAAAAAAAGGCCAATAGGTCCAATTTTGAAAGTTTTTCTACATAGAGTTCAGAAGAATACCTAATCAATTGAATGTTTATATTTTTTATGCTCGGACAGTAGTATCT